GTCGGGTATGCATCGGGAATTTACGTGATAATTCACGAAAATTCCACGGTACATATATTTTTAGGCTTTAAAAATATTTAGAAAATAAAGTTCAGTTCAAAATAGTGTCGTTTTTTTAATTAGAAATTAGGAGCAATGTAACGAATATCCTCAGGCGACGCACATGATAGAATAGTCCAACTCACGCTCCATTCATAACAGGGCTGCAATTTGAATTCTGACCAATAGGAATTCGATAAACGCAACCGATGTTGACGGATGGACGAGAGATAGGCGCGTGTCATTTCATTTCTTTAGAACTAAATTAACTTAATTATTTTCTCGTTGTTTTACAAGTTCACATGATTTACGGATTTTAAATAAAGGATACAAATCTTCGCGAGGATAATACGATATATTTGTTATACATAATAATTATATTTTACATAGTTTACACACAATACATTTTTGAACGCGTACGCATCTCTTATATGTAATATCTTTGCTATAAGGAGATTCCATTTCAAATTTGCCACACTGTATTAACACTTTACAGCTAGACTGTTTGAAAATGCAATATCCCAATATACAGAGTCAACTTGAATAATATATGATCAATACATTAACGATTTGTGTCTGTGCGGATGGGTAAGCGTACCATTCAGCGTTGATAGCAACAGTTTGAACCGGCTTAACTATTGTTCATTATTATTATGTGGATTGTACTTGTGCCGTGTAGATAATGGCCGTACATAATGCTACAAAGGACCATAGTTGGTCCTTATCTAAAGCCGAATCGCTCGGGTATTATTTGTTTAAAGCTAACGTTAACAGAGTTACAGGAAAATGAGGTTAAGTAAATACCTGAACGAATAAATTTCTTGTAAAGAAGAATGTTAGCTGAGTTGGGTAATTTCTATATAAAAATATTAAATTTAAATATCGGTAAGATCTTGATTTGAATTTGAATTGCGAAAGAGAACAATTACCTTTAGAACAAAATTGCAAGAAAAATTAAAGTTACAAAATTATTGGGATACTTTCTTGATGCATTTTTAATGTATTTTATATTTCCTGTAATAATAAAAATTCTAATAAAGTGAATTAGAACTATGTTAAAATGAGTGCACAAGAGAATGATTCCTCTAAAGCTTCTGCATTTCCCTCCCATTTTCCTTGGATTAAGGACACTTTTTATTATGCCTTTGAAAAACACCATTTGAATTCCCATTTGGCTAAATTATACATAAAGTTTTTACGACGTTTGATTCTAGCGGCTTATCTTCGAAAGCAGACGATCCCCTGGCTAAATTTTTCGTTTTGTGAATCTCTGTGTTGATTCCAAACCCTACCAATTGCGAACCAATCATTTCCGAGACCTGAAAGCCACTCGATGAGTTAAAAGTGCTAAAATAAAGTATAAATTTATACGAAGTTGGTAAAAAGTGACGCGTCTTTCAAATATAAATTATTCAGCCAATGATATCTGATTGAACGACTCCATTTGATCAAATACTTGTCACATTAACGAATATTGACCGGCTTAAGTAACTATTCCTCTCAATCAGTTAATGCCGATCCTGAAATCGTAATAAGAACCGCCGAAAGTCGTTCCGAAACAAAAACCCGATACGTGAAACTATAATTCTTCTGATAGAAAGTTGCGAATTACAGACCACTCTAATCAATTAGAAAGAAAAAGAGGAATAAATCTAATTAACGCGGCGTTGCCCGGGAGAAGGATGAGAGCAAAAAGTGGCTTGATGTGTGAATAGCAGAAATAAGATCCTTTGAAATTGGCTTCCAGGATTTACATCAAGAGGGAAACCACGGACACCTACTCCTGACCGCTGAAATAGGACCGCGACGTAGTTGAATAGAATGCGGTTGCCACTATGTACCTACTACATAAAAATTGAATGTACACAGGCCCCTGCCTCTGTCAACGCGCATTCAAATAGAGAAATTTCTGATTTGTTTGAAGAAGAAAAGTTGATTACAACTGCCCCATGGCATCATACAATATTAAATTAAACTGTATCCTTTGGGAAAGTAAATATACAGGGTGTCCCAATTAAAACTTCCCACCTGGAAAATATCGGAATAAAAAAAACCTGAGACTCGTCGATTTTATTTTCAAGGGGGACACGGAAATTTTAAATGACACCCTATATTGAGTAACACCTCATTTTAAAGCTTTTTCAATTCTGCTCACGACGACATACGACATTTTGAATTTTGGTTTGTATATGACAGATTTTTAATGATCGTTATCCTGACGAAAACACTTCGCATCAGTAACGGCAAACAGAAAGCATCAACGTCAACAGATTGTACGTTATGAGGGTAATCAGGTAGCTGTTTTGGGTCACATCGAAATGGAACCACATTTGAATCTCAGAAAACTTTCAAGTACCTACCTACTTTAGAAATTTCTGTACCTAATTGCCGAATCATAAAAATTCATAAGTATCAGTCATACAAAATTAGTTTGGTACAAGAAATTAATGAATGCTGCTTGCAATTCTGGGAAGAAATGAGTGATCGTGCTCGAAAGAATCCAAATTTTTTGTACTCAATCTGTTTTTCTGATGAATGTACGTTCCACCTGGATAGTCTGGTAAACCAGCAAATTTGCCGGTACTGGAGTGATGAAAATCCACGCATTTTTCATGAAACTCATATGCAGCATTCGAAGAAATTGAATGTTTGGGAGACCACCTCATAGGGCCTTTTTTCCTACCGGAAAATCTAGATGAAAACATGTAGATCCAGTAGATTCAGAATCTACTGGAAACGAATAATGAATATCTACCCGATGATTGTCAAAGTATTGGAAAATGACAACGCTTTGCCAGAAGAGGTTGTGTTGTTTCAGCAGGATTTTCTTAATCAGAACTTTCCAAATCACTGGACAGGACGCAAAGGTTCAATTGAGTGACCTACCCGATCTCCAGATCTAACGCCCATAGATTTATCTACAGAGTAGAAGGCATCTACGTTATGGTCACATTATACCACGTTGAGAACAACACTTAGTACAAAATATATGAAATTATGTGTTTTCCTGAAACGTCAAGATGATAATATAAACCAAAGAAGTCAAAAGTTCTGTCAAATAAACAACTTGAAACGTTTATTGCTCAAGCACCAGACAATTAACGAATAAGGTACATTTGTATGTGAAAATTTGAAAATAACTAGATATCAGTTTTTCCCTTTTAAGTTGCTTTAATATTTGGTGTTGCAGATGCATGTCGCCGTGATGAACTGTATCAATTAAAGAATGATATAGATGATTTAAGGTCAAAGCTTTTAATTCAAATATCTGATAATAAAACGAATAAACGGAGATCACTTGTGATAAACAAAACTATATAGACAACATATTGCGTAACACCCAGAAAATTTTGTAAGTTGACGCTTTTTCTTTAAATATTCAAATAGGAAAGGTTGCAGGAAAGTAATATTAATGCATCAGTTTGGTAAAATGCCTCAAATTGTCGCAACATCGCAAGAATCTTTTACAAGTAAACTAGACAACAGATATAGCAGATAAAATATTTAGAGGGGGGGAGATACCAAAAGAAATTTGCTAATAGTAATAATATTGTCGAAAATTAAATATTTCCAGAAGGACAAAATACATCTACATATTTCTCTGTTAGAGTTAATTAAAAAAAACATGATTACAAGTGGAGAATGGGATGTCTTCGTATTAAGATGTAAATGCAATCGTCCTAATGGGGTATTTCTAGAGGGTATATTAAAGTCTGCGACAAGGTAGGGATCAGAGATGTAGAAGTTTTAAATATTATATTGAAACAACAAAAAAGCGATAATGAGACTATTTTCCGATGTACTTATGTTAAATTCTATACATAGATCATCCGCGGAATAAAATTGTAAGTAGGAGGCTTGTTATACTTTTGAATATACAAAAATATGAGGAACCGTTTTTGAACTTTTTCTACACAGCCTAAAATAGATTAATCAGATTATTTGGCTGTAGCTATCTAGGTAGCTAATATTCAACTAATGTGATAAATTAATGAAAAGTTGATAATGGCCTGTAAATCTTTTATGTTTCAACCATTAACAATTTATTACTATTGATTTTATAAGGATACACTATGTGAAAATTATCGCACAACCTTTTGTATATAAAAATTAAGTTAACAAAATTAATTTATTTTAATTAGTTTGACTTCAAAAGCAGCATCGATATCAAGTTGTAATAGTCAATACGGCTAAAACAATACCCATCCATCCATAGCACTTTATTAATAAAGCTGGGATCCGCTGTAATTTGATTTTTGAAGCAATTGCAAAATTCAGCACGACTGAGGAAATCAGCTGTTTCGCTTCAATGTTCGAACGCTTTGCAGTCCGCCAGCCGGCTCTAATGTTTTCCTAGCATTGAGACCTTTTCTTTATGTTTTTTTTTTATTTCCGCTCTAAAATATGATGATTGTAATTATTTTAACTGGTAGATACATCTAGGTTAAATATACAGTCCAAAATTTCATAAAATTTTTGAATATTTACCTCAGTCTATTCGACAACTAACGGCCAGTCTATCCTTTGGAAAGCCAGAGGTAAGTTGAAAATTGTTATTATTAAAACTATATTGATAAATAATCTTATCGAAGTCTGTATATTTTACCAATATCAAGAGCAGAATGGTGTAATATCTGGTACTTATAGTTATGGTATATTTTCACAAAACTTACTTGCGTGGAGAGCAGCACGGCCCTGGTGCACTCGAATACGTTGATGGAAGTCATGTTTAGAGTAGGTCCGTAAAGAGTGATGACATAGGTGATGCCCAGCAAGGGCATGAGCACCAAGAGTGCCTTAGCAGCCTTATGGTACTGCTGCGTCTCTAAGGTGTTTGCGGACCGGAGTTTGGTGATGAGCACCCACATGATGCGGAGCAGGAAGACCGAGTTAACCAAGAGGACGATCATGGTAGGGGTTTGGAAGATCCAGTCTATGTCGTGGCTTTCGAACCATTGACACTAGAACAATAACCCATTTTGTAGCATTGAAATAATGTTATTAAGTATCAAGTATTAATCAGTTTCATTCACTCGAGATGTTCTAAAGGTCTTAGCGACAGTGCAATATTTAGTACATCTAGTAAGCAATTTGAAAAATACTTGATATTCCCCTAACTTTGATATAAGTTTACTGTTCCATCTGATAAATTTCATCTCCTTTTCGAGGCGTTTTCTACTGGAATCAAATGGAAAAACTTTATAGGAAAGTTTTATTAAAGCTCTCGGAAGGAATATGGAAAACACATTTCCATAAAGTTGTAGAACTCTTATTGTTAAAACAATAAGATCACCTTTATTAGAAAAGGGAACAAACGATTTCCAGTGGGATACGGTAAACGTTACTCGGATAATATTAAATTGGCAAAGTAAATAGATAAAATTAAATTATATTTCAACAGAGTATTTTACGGAATTTGCAGAACTTTAGAACAAATATGTGCTGACCGCGTTCGGATGAAAAGTAATGTTTAGATTCAGTTTTAATGTTTTATATTGTCTCCAGAAGGAAGTGTCTTTCGCTCGTCTACCGGACAACGCAGTAGTGTGATATGATGATGGAATAATTAAAGTAACAATAGCGAAAATAGTGGCAAAACGGCCCCGTATATGACAAAATCCTAAGTAAGCTAATTTGAGACGTCTCTTTCATACGCAGCCACACAATTCCTATCTGTCGCCTTCGATCGATTTAGAAGACTTTTAAGAGGTTTCCACTTACGGAGGCCTTTGTCGGCTTTTATGTGGCCCTCGTTCCCAATTTTGCCTCTCTTTAAATCCTTTTCCTGGTGCTTGGAGCACCGGGTTTGCAACTTACAGGGCTGCTATGCCCAGAAATTTGACAGCTGCTTAAACTGGCATATTATAATTTAATAACGGTTCCCACAAGGGCTAATTTGGATTTGCTAAAGAGATTTCGGTACTTATTCTTTGGTCAATATTTTACCACGTTTTTTTCCTCACGATGGCACTTTCATATCGTAACGTTACTTTAACACGTACCTACTTTCATGGTACAGATGTGGACCATAAGAGTTTTCCAATCTAAAGCAGTGAAGTATTGAAATTTTAACTATTTAAATCGGGCTGTTTGTTTTTGTTAATAGGCTGATAGTAATGTTTTAGTAATATTATTTTTTGAATATAACATTAAACGATTCTTGATTGTTAAACAGTGTCATAAAAAATGCTTGAAACAAACCTTAGGCTTAGAAAAGTAAAGTCTTTGATACGTATGTCACTGACAATACAACTAATCAATTTTTGAAAATATACAGGGTGTTTTCAAGAGATGCAGCACAAATGGTATCGGTGAATGTACAGCTAAAAAGAATAGGTTTTGCATAAAAATGACCTTAGTAAAAAATGTTCACCCCTTAGGAGATACAGCTTTAAATAGATACTAATGGCGGAGAAGCATCAACTACTTCACATTTTAATAATCCCACTATCCGCGTCATTTACAATAACATGTACATGTCTGTCCCCGATTTGAAGCTTCGTATCGATCAATTTATTCGATACGTATTTAGCGGCACCCTAATGCCTACCCTGTTCGCCTAGCGTCCCGATGAACAATCCTGATCTTTTTGTTGAGATATGTTGGTCATGCATTTCATTGTCGTTTGTGCGCGTGTGAGTGAGTTTGACGCTTTGCTTGGTCGAGAGTATGATGTATTGTGAGCATAGAGCGACACACGGCTTGACAGATTTAGCCTGTGTGTAACATGCAACAATTTCACGTCTCCACTAGCTGTAACGTTACATGATCGTGATTACGTTACGAGTCATTTGTTACAAATGGATATTCTTTTAATTGTGTTTGTTTGATTATGTATTCATTAATAAAACAATTATTTCTTTACGTAGTTACCTTACTTACAAATATTTTAGTTTCAGTTACGTTTATCTACATTATGTTTTTCCTAAGTCTTCAAAGTGAGGGGTTGATACTTTTCCTATTTTCCGTCCTCTAATAAAGTTCTTTTTTATTCTTTTTTGTATCATTTTCTCCTTGTTATTGAAGAAGTACGTCGCTTTAAATTTCGAGTGCATCTTATAACTGACTGAAGCACCTTTGCCGTTCAAGTATTTCAATAAAATAAGAAACACGTTTTCCTTCGTTATAAATCAGTATAAAAGAAATTGTGTATAATTATTCCGCATCTACATATGTAAGTGAGTATTACTGTTGAAGATTTAAAGATAATCATACAAAACCCATTGTTTCCTTCCTTTGGGATTTCCGTCTGTACATGAATGAATTGTTAATCTTTTCGGACTGTTCGGTTCTCATCCTAATGCAAATTTTCTCTACAAGCTTCGAAGAGGTACGATTTAAATTCGAGAGCAGGTACACCAATCGAACACAATTTACGATTTAAAGCATATTTTCATAAAAAAATTCACGCTATTTCCTGCCAGATTTCCCAATAAGCAGTCCTTTAACGAATGCGCTGATTTTTTAGGTTGATTTTCTGTCAGACACACGACTTTAAATTTGAAGTCACACAAGGAGATGCAGAAGGAAAACCGGATAATATCATTAAATTAATTTCGTTTTTTCGAGCACGTCGCTTTAAATCGAATTTAGGATGGTTCGCGAATAAAATTTAATCATTTTAAATTCAACAAAACTGTGGGCGACACATACAAATTTGCAGAATGCTAAAAATAATATGAGAATTGAATATGTCTCGACTCTATTTGGAACTAGAAATTACTGAATTTCTTCGCAATATACATATAAATGAAAAGTTTCTTTTGCAAAACTTTTAATACGATTTTGCTTATAAAATTTTTGTGTACGTAATGAAAAGATTTAACTAGTTTTAGAAGTTAAAATAAAAAAACATTTTTATGGAATTCTTATAATGTAGTTCTAAGTAGAGGTATATATAACTGAAAACCCGAGTGAATATTTTTATTATTCAATCATAAAACTGGAAAGCCAATTAAATTATTGATTTATGTGTTGCAAATATAATAAATCATTTAATTCGTATAATCTTTTCAAAGGTAGTGTTAAAAACTTATTTGGATATACATTCTGTTAAAAACGTAGGTATCTCGAATTTGTCAATTAAAAATTCCGCGAAAAGTAGATTTAAATTGCTTTTTTGATGGAAAGTTGGTAGCTATTTTTACCATGGATAATGTTATTGAACAAAGAGTTTACTAAAATTCCGTGCTACCAACGGAATTTCTTGTGCTGAATCTGAAATTTTGTGTTTCAGTTTTTGTGTTTAATATTCAGTTATTGTATAATTCTGTTGAATGGTGTATCAAATAAATAAATAACTAACAAATACATACTTTTTTTGGGTTTCTTTTTCGTTTTTTTTTTTTCTTTTTTGGCTTTTTCGGCTTTTTTTTTTTGTTTTTTTATTTCCGTTTTTTCGATGGAGATCTTGAAGTATTTTTTTAAAGTACATTATACCTATAAATTTCCACATTAAAAACTGTATGTACGTGTCCATTGGACCATTCTGCGATTAAAGATAACCACCAAACTGAACTGAATGTTAAAACGGTCTAAAAATGGCTCTGGCGGATATAGACGACACTACCGTTATTACTATCATTGTTTGATACTCACCATAGTGGCTGGATCGCTGCTGATAGGTACAAAGCTCTTCACAACGGCCCAAACGACAATGAAAACCATCGGAAGTCCTGCGAATAACAATAGTCATTATTTTGTTTCCATAACGTTATATTTTGGAGGATGGGTGCATATCTACATCCAGTTTTAATATGTAGGATGTAAAGAGACGTTGCTATAAATTTTCAGGAATCCTCTCATGAAACAAACAATAAAATAGCAACAATAACTTTTTTTGTAAAATGATTTTTAAGGACTTCACGATCCCTCAAATATCGGAGTTAAAAAATTACTCAAGAACTATTTAAGATGTAGACTTCAAAGTAACTACATATAATCACATTGAACAAAAAATAACTGGTGACGTTGAAATTAGAAGGAATCTAAGAAGTTTCAACTGTCCAAAGAAAAAAATTGATATAGAACATTTGGAAAGACTATTTCCAAACACTTTTGTGCTCCTTGATTTTTTTTGGGAATGACCATTCATGGTTAAAACTCCAAAACCATAATAAAATTATTTAGCAACGAAGCAAAGATAAAAATTAGAATAACTTACAGTGTTATTCAAATTTGCATTATTCTTTTTAATGCGATGAAATTTGAAGTCTACATCTTGAATGGTTCTTGAGCAATTGAAAAACTATGTTCCGCTGGTAATTTTTGAAGGAACAGAGACCTCTTTGAAATTATTTTACGAAAAAATTTTACTCTTGTTTTTATTTGACAGCAGTAAATAATTCCTCAAAGATTTTCACAACGTTGCTGTATTAAAGTCATTTGTTTGGAGAAACCAGTTTAATTTTCTGTTATAGCTCATTTCCAAATTAAAACAATTTTTTTTTATAGAGAAGGTAAAAAAAGAAGGAACATATTAAACTTCTAATTCTAAGGTACTGAATGAAAATGTATTATCAAATAATTCACCTTGTGTGACATCACTTAATGTACGTACAAATAGAGAGTAATTCATCGATTCGCCGATGTTCGCAGTTTGATTTCAAGCCATTGTTACATTTAAAAGGCTCTTCATCATGCGCAGCAATCGAATCTTTGATATATCTGGCTCGTACGTCAAGAACTCCTCGAAAGTCCCCTGGATATGACGGATATGATAATAAATCTTCAGTGGGATTAATGAACAAGCACCAAGCACTTATGCTATATGGCGAATTACATTTATAATTGTATTTGACATCGAGTGTATGTTTCATAGAGAACTTAGGAGTAGTAAATAGACAAAATCAATAAGGTTTTGCTAATGCTTTAATTTTTTAAAGTAATATAATAATAGATTTTGTTTAGACATTACAAAGAAATAGTTAAATTATAAAGAGTTGATTTAAATGCGTTTTCCCATCAAAATTGTACCTGTACGCTTGCATGAGTAGGACATAATTTTGTTAGAATAAGTTCATGTTAAGTGCGATCCTGTAGTCTATTGTGCACACTTATAATTATTAGATTTCATCCAACAGGAATAGTTTCTAAATGTATGCAATTACCTCGTTTTGCCTGCTTTACTGTAGGTTGAGAACATAACCTTCTAAACGTAAAAGGTACTCGGCCTTTTCGACCAAACCTAGCTTGTGAAGATGATGCCGGATATAAATAATAAGCTAAATACAGTCAAGAAAACAAACACTTTGTACATATTCACCCACTCTCGCAACCTGTTTAATTCCTGCAAGCTTTTAGCTCTTTTTTCAATGGTTCTTAATAGACTTCGAATACCTTCATATGGGCTTTTGCTCATGGTCATTTTGGCAATAGCTAAAGTTGTACAAAGGACTGTTATTTCTAGTCCAATGAAATTCGAAGCACCACGGAACCAGAGTCATTCTGTTATTATTTTGAGTAACACCAGTGAGGTCTTTGAGAGTTACTGGCCTCCTGTAAAAATATTTATCTACTTCTGTATGTCGCAATTGTTCTAGTTTCAATACAGAGTACGATGGCATAGATTCCTGCCTGAAAGGTAGTACTTACCGAGTACGTACAGACAAATTCGTATGTCGTTTGTAAATATATACTCCTGTTTAAGCATTTTATGAAGTTTTACAGTCATATGTGTACCAACAGTTGTCTGCCCTCAAGAAGTCGTTATGCTTCGATCCCATTCATCTGACCCAGAGTGTTGAAAGGCAGATTTTATAAGTTTGTCTAGTTATAATCTTTAGGTCATGCCAGAGTTATGTGGTTTTCCATATCATCCAGCAATCCGTTGTACCTTATGGTGTCTTTTAGGTATTATTAATAGCCTTAATATATATGCTACCTTCATTTTCTCCACTAATATATGAAAAGGCATGCAGATCCAGAGGGATTTCCACAATAGCTTATAATGTGGAGCTGATTACTTCAGTTATCATCAGACACGATGTCTCTGTAAACTTGAGAGTTTAATTGAGTTTTAGAGACTTTCAGATGGTGAAACTATATGTTTGACCAATTTTCATTTTCTTGTGAAGGATACAAGAAATCTTTAGTTGGGGCTATTCCTTCTCATATCAATCTAGCACTAAATTTGGTAGCTCCTGAAGTATAGATGAAATAGTATTTGCTCACAAGAAGTGATCAAAGATCTCTTTTGCGGCACTGACCTGCTTGTTGTTAAACATGTATTTCCTAGGATTGCCCGGATTAAGCCACATGTACTAAACCTCTAGCTACTGCTGAGGTATAGAGACAGTTTGGTAGAATGTCATTAAATGCTCCTTTAATATCAAGGAATGCTGAAATTTTCTTATTTTGGAAGGATTTGGAGATTTTCCGTCGATTTATTCGATTAGTAGGCTTAGTAATGGATACTAAGAAGATGCAAACTAAGTATGGCCATCAAGTGCCTGTTCCATACTTTTCAACAGAAATTGTTTATCAATGGTTTAGAATTAATTCTTCTCGATATATTTTACCATTCTAATGTTTATCCAGCTAGATGGACTTTAAAATGTCTGATAATTTTTATAATCTCCAATACATTTGGTGGCAGAACTGAAAAAATACCGCTCCCACCTAGATTTGAATGGTTTAAACGATTTGATTATCCACTCGATATAGGACACTGTATAATAACTTTCTAGTGCATGTACAGGTCATCCAGTAGTTTTATCCACACGACCTCCAATGTTGATCTCTAGAAATGATCTTGTGAATTTTGGAACTGCTAGGTAAGTCAGAGATATCCTCGTAGAACCTCCTCCAAGATCAGTTTGTTCTTCTAATTTCATTATTACACTTCATTAAATGTATTTATGTTGATCCCAACAGCTTAGGTCCATAGAAAAGGCATCCAACTTCTTTCATCGTTTTATCTAATGTCTTGATCCATCAAAATATCATTCTACATTAGCATAAGTAAATACGGACAAAAAATAACTTAACATTAATTTTCTATTTCTATTCGTCTAGACGACGGGACCATAAATCTACATAAAACTTGATACTCACCCCATCCGATGCACACATAGACCCGTAGTTTAAAATTCTCTCTTGTTAGAGTCTCCACGACTAGGATGTAGAGGTAAAGACCTGTAATGAGAAAAATTAATTGTTAAGCACACTAGATCTTCCTCTCATAATTTAATAGTTCAGTAAGAGAGCGCATTTACTTTTTTTGTTGGGAATACCCCGAGGGAGCAGCCTTTTATTAAAGAAGTTTTCGTATATAGGCTTGGAGTTGGAGTGTATAAGCATTCTAAATAATGTTTATGTTGCGAAGTTGCAAATCTTAAGACAATATTTTCAGACAGAACTGAGGAGTTTTCGGTAAACTAATATCGTTGCCAACTTTTCAGCAACGTCAATATTATACGGGATTACTATAAAGTACGAAAATATAAACTAACTTTGTAATATTTGGAAAAAGTTTCGAGAGAATGGTTTTATCTGAAAATTTACCTCAACCTTTGTGTCCTTTTTGTGATTATACAAAGTGTCCGCAGTATAATCCCGGTATGTTTAATAACCAATAGTACAGACAAAAACAAACAAAAAAAGTTCTGATTATAAAATAAATTGTAGTAATACTTAGGTAGTTGTTTGATATATGATGCATTTGTGGTGTTCTAATTTTATATAAGTCTAACAATTTGGTAATATCATCAAAATGAACGGCGTTAAATTGTTTTGTTTTTATCAATGTTCAGTTGTCAGTTGATGTCAGGCCTGCGGTACGGATCATCAACATAAAATAAAGTGAATAATGGTTATAAGATTTATGTCATTGTCTCATTGTGAAACATGTAAATTGTTTTACGTATCGTTACCATTGGTTCCACAATCTGGATGGGATTCGTTATAGATCGCATCATCAGGTATGTTTCTACCCTTTTTTCAGCGAAACTTATTGGCAGCGGTGATAAAGTATCTTAATCTGAAAAAAATCGACCGTTCGACATCTATTGATGTAATATTAAAATTTGCATAATTAAATAATCTACTCCCAAGCTGGTTTCACATGGTAATTTCCACTCGCGGTTGTATTTATTCCAGTAGGAATGAAATGTTTTATTATTTTCTATATCAAATGGTAGGTTACATGCAATCAGTATGAAGATTAAATCAAACATAAATTGGGTCTTCTTATTTTCGCCAGTTTTTTATACGTGTGTTGCGTACTGTTAAATACACATAATTGTGTATCAAAAGACAACTAAAATCGTATAAGAAATCGTTCGATTACGGAGAAATCGGCGACTAAACGACAGCTATAGTAGGATCGTATTCGATACAAAGTAGAGCAAAAAGTTGTCGGTCTTTTATCAAAGGAAAATCGTGTCATCATTTTTAGGAGGCGTAAGATAAATCATTTCAAATTTAAAATGAAATTTAATGTAAAATCTGAAATACCGCTGCATACGCACTGTGTTCTGGTAGTAGCTGTAGTCGCCCAGGTGCATCGAGTGTACGAACTGGTGGGTTATACGTCAAATACTAACCTGGCGAGCTTTTCCGTCAATTAGAAAGCGCTTCAAAAAAACAAGTAAACAACAGTGGCACGTACAGAGGTAAAATGTAGTACATATGTGGAATTTAAGAAACAAATTGGATTTATAATAAATTACATTTAAAATAAATAGTTTATGAGAATAAAGGAATTTTTGTAGGAACAAGGGTGCCAGACCTGAACTGATCCCCACGTCCCTTTATAATGCATAAAGAAATTATTCAATCTGTAAAACCCTTAAAAGCGTACTTCATTGGTTCCCTTGACAGGCAATGATTTATTACTTTGCATCGAATATGATCCTACTATAGGCAGCTCGCGTGGCTGACTGACGGCGCCAATGGCTTGCGGACCGATTGTGACAGCTCTAGATGATCCTGTTTTTCTTATGCCAGTATTTTAGGTTCACAATGTGATAGTGACTATCATCAGACACTAATTTATGAAGTATAAAATAAACTCTTATAAAGCACATGGTCACTTGTTGCAGTGCCTCATGTTGTTTTAGATACTGGTAGTAAAATTCCTGGTCTTGAACGAGGACGACAACAACAGATTCCCGGACAGATACAATAGATACTAGATATTCTTGACGAGCTAGTTGCCAATCAAAATAAAGAACAATGTAACAACAAAACATTAAATACTTAAACGATAATTATTATAATATCCCTATAATATCAATGAATTCAGATTTTCTTAGAGATAAGTTCTGTAGGTGGTTATACGGGAAAATCGTAATAACAGTATCGACAAAATTCAATTTACAGATTTGTTTTTCAGTTATAAACATTTATATTTTTTCGGTGTAAAAAATATGTTTGTGAAATATAATGAAGTTAAAGAATTCAGCTTAACAATTTTTAAATGCTAAACTTTTACTCTCAATTTTCATATAGGTACTAACATGAATTTAGTTGGAAAGTACAAAGTAAAAGGTTGCGGATTTTTGTGGAAAAGAGCAACATTTCTTTCAGCAATCATACTAGAAGTTATTACTTAAGGATTATCAAAAGGCTGTCCCATTTGTAGGGATTTAGGATTTGGGTATTCTCCAAAGTCCAACGAAAGATATGTAAAACTTGTGCGAATTCCGAGTAAAGCCGGCGAAATCTGTTATTTCACGTCTGACAGGAAGGTTAGAGCTTCCGACAACATCGAAAAGGCGATGAATTTATTTTTCGAACAGCCACGTCAAAAACAGAGGTCTGAACTGTCTGCAGAATTTATATCTAATAATAACAAATGGAAATGTCAATTTACATTCGCGAAAAGCAAATATAAAAACATAGGCAGCATTTATTTACATTTGGTAACTCGAAAAAATCATGGCAACTACACTCAACGAACTGTATATTAATCATAAGTAAAATTGATTAGCAACAAAAACCAAACGAAATAAGTAGGTATATTAAGTTGGCCCCAGAAAGGTTACATTGTTTTTATAACGAAAACAAAAAGTGCTAAAGGAACCTACAGCAGTTAAAAAAAATCTTTTTAATAATTCTATCTTCTTACTAGCGAGTGTCATTATATGCCCCAACAAATATTTTTGTTAGTACGTATTATCCTTAGGATGAGTAGCAGCATTAACTTGAGGTAATAATAATAAATTGTTTGAAGCTTGGTTTATAATAAATTGCAATTTTATAATTATCTAATTATTTTAGAAAAACATCCTAATTGGTAGGGCTGTCTGAACTGAGCCGCGGGACATAGGTGTACGCGTTATTTATTAAAAAGTAACAAATTAAATTGTCTACAATATACTATAAATACCAACGGATAGGAATTAATTACTCAACATCCGCACGATAACAAATGAACAGTATCCTAAAGTGACGTGAACGTGAAAAGCATTCTGAGGCAGCGGCTCGCGCTCTCGGTTGCTCCGCTTGGCACGCCATTTAATTGCGGCTATCTCTGCCAGCCCTACTTATTGGTCGGTATTCCCTCAGTGTAGCACTACGTTATAGCAGTTTTTGTAAATTACTTTTTAAGTACTAAATCGTTTTCTGTCCTGACTAAGTGATTTTATATGTAGTTGATTCACAAACTTTGTTTTTAAACTATTTTATCATTAAAACCAAAATATAGTAGTCTGTGCTGCTTTTCAAATTTAATTTTGACTTTTTAAATAGAAAGTGAAAGTTTAAAAGACGAATTTGATACTTCAAACATTTTAGGCACAACACCGTATATAAGTTTTGTTGATATAATCTTTATTATAACAGTAATTTTTCTTATTACTGTTACAATATCATATGACAAGCTTAGTAAACATTATTTTGCTAACACATTTTACTGCCGTAAGTCGATGCTCAGTGTTTAACAAAATAAAAAAGTAATCCACGTATATTCTTTATAACTAATAAAAAGTTTTTTTACTTATATCTTGGATCCTATACATTTTGGAAGAATTTTGAAGAGAAAAAAAGTTTTAGAATTGAATTTTGCACAATATACTGCAAGTTAAAAATGTTTAAATTTATTACCGATGTTGTAAAATAGCAATAATTGATGAAAAAAGGCAAAATAATCAAGTTTTTTGAATAATTTTTTTAAAACATTTTAATTGCACCGAGGGCATTCTAATTTTGGTAAAAAAAACTTTAGAGTATAATAAAACAATACACCAAATTTCATTAAAATCGGTTCTATAGTTCTCGCAAAATAATTATTTGAAAAAAATTTGGAAAAAAATTTTTCGAATTTTCAAAATGTTGCACAGCCTCAAAGACTGCTCAACCTTTCAAATGGTTTTTGAAAAATTGAAATCGGTTGATTAGGACGGCCACAGTAAATTTTTAAGGTTAACACTCTTTTTTTTTAATTTTTAAACAATTACATTACATTTATCAATTTGTAATTTAGTTTTTTTCAAAAATTATAACTTTAAAGTACTATTTTTTCTTAATTTTATCTGTATTTAAGAAGGAAACAATAAATCCAAATATATATTTTTAATTTGTTTAAACAAAAATTATTTAAATAATCGTAATAATTATAACTAAATACATTCATATTCAGAATGTTGAAATATATATGTAAACAAACTTTTTTAATTGAAAAAATGCAATAGCATAGAATAAAATATACAGTATATTTAACGCATACATAATAAACTTTGTTTATAACAAAATATGTGCAAATTAGACAGTTGGTATTACGATATTCGAATTCTTTGGCTCGCAAGACATCGGATTAAAAAAATAGATCGAAATTGGTCCATTAGAAGGCGAGATAATGCAATTTTTTCGTACCTTGTCATCAACCGATTTCAATGTTTCAAAAACCATTTTAAAGGTTGAGCGGTCTTTTCTATGGGAAAAAATTTTCAAGTATCTAGATGCTTTATTTGAGGCTGTGCAACATTTTGAACATTCGAAAATTTAAAACAAAAATTATTTTGTGTAAACTATAGAACCGATTTTAATGAAATTTGGTGTATTGTTTAATTATAATATTATTATTATACTTTTTTTACCAAAATTAGAAAGTCCTTGGAGCAATTAAAATATTTAAAAAAAATTATCCAAAAAAACTTGATTATTTTGCCTTTTTTTCATCAATTGTAGCTATT